CAGCACGGCTGGAGAGCAGGGCTCGCCGCCACTTGGCAAGCCCTGCAAATTGCAATACAGGAAAAAGAGCCACAATAACTACTCAGTGTTGCCTAACGCAGGGCTGTTCAATGATCCTCACAGCACATGCCTAGGGCCGCAACTCAAGTGTGGTTGCAGATACATGCAAATATATGCGAAAATATATGCAAATAGCTTCTTTCACGCTGATGGGCATGAATACAAAGATTAAGGCAAGACTACACAACATGCAGGCCCCATTTAAGTCAGCTCTGCTGATATTAATAAAATGCAGTATCTACCCGATTTCCACTCATATATAACAGCACGTTTAATGAGCAACGACAGTCCAGGAATTGAACTACTAAAACCCAGATCAACAGAAGGCCATCCTATTGACTCCTTTTTTGGTTTGGCTCCCACCCACGGGCCACATGTTGATCCCTGTGTAAACCCAAACTGCACCACGGGGCACAAACAAACAGGGTCCACAGATCACATGTTGAATAGCCATGGTCTAACCACACGAAATTTCAGTTCCAAACACTTGGTAACTAGCAGCCTGCACTGCAGTTCTAATCCTGGATTTTCATTTCAATGGCATTATACACCACCAAGCAGAAAAAAAAGTAGAATGTCATTTTAAATTGCTCTGTTTTGTTAATCCCGGTCTTGGGCCTGGCTGGATACTTTGCTTGGTTCTCACATTTTATGGACTGCTTGGTAAATGTTTTATTTGCCCTCAAAGGCTTTTTTTAAAAAACAGACAAGTAAAATAAATCCTGAGCTGTAATCTAATCCCACTGGAATACTTGGGCTAAGGAAAACAAGGTGAGAAAGCACACATACCTTTCTAGCAGAGGACTCCCTAATTGCAGGGATGGGCAAAAAACAGCCCTTAGGCTGCTCCAACCCACCAAACAGCTGGATCCATCCTGTCACTGTCCCACAGCACAAGCTGGTCCCTGCCTGCCGTGCCCCCTCATGCCTTCAAAATGGCCAACTGCAGGGGTTATGTGCTCTTTGTTCAACGTGCACACCAGGCGTGGGGGACTCTGCATGCTGCTCCCACCCCACAGCATAATCTCACAGCTCTCATTGGCCAGAAGCCACCTGCCCTCCCCCCAAGGAGCATGCAGCACACAGAAAGCACATGACTTCCACAGCTGGCCGTTTTGAGTGGCGTGTGGGGGTACAGCAGGCAGGAAGCCTGCCTGAGGGTCCCATTGGGCTGGCCGGGAGCAGCCTAAGGTAAGTGTCTCCCAGAAAGAGCCTGCCCCTGGCACGCTGCTCCCTTCCTGCACCCTAATCCTCTGCACCCCTCCAGTACCCCTGCCCCAGGTCACAATCCAACACTCTGCACCCCTACTGCACCCCAGTTTCCCACCCCATGCTCCCTACTTCCATCCTAGCTCCTGTATCATGGAAGAGTACAGCCCTCGATCACTTAAATTCATGGAGTGATCCTCCCTCCATCAAAAGTTATTGCCCACCCCGCCTTACTGTCATTTATAATAGGGCTCCTTTACATCATTCTGGCAATGTAAGTAAAACTTTCACCAGTTTTATGTTCCTGGGTACAGTCAGCTAACAACAGACATGTGACTATATTCTGCTTCAGAGAAAAAGATCAATTAACTGACAGGCTGCTTCATGTGTGCCTCTAGCCTGCCTTGTGCATAATAAAAAGCCCTACCTTAACGCACGAGGGAGCAGCAATCCCAA